TATTATGAAATAAAAACATATTATAAATAAATCAAGTTGCAAATTTAATTTAATTTATAATCTTTGATTGCAATGTTTCCCATATCTCTTCCTCTTGATGTGTTCGCTTTGGTGCGAACGTCAAGCTTCGAGGAGCTGCCAGATCGAACTTCCGCCAATCGGCAGGAATCGAGACGTGTCTGCGAGAAGCAGATCCTAATACGCGCGCAGCCGCAAATCCATTTGGCGTGCAACAACCATGAGGGTTAACGAGATCACCGTTTGATTCTCCTCCACCATTCTGTTCCCCCCATACTAGGCATTACCTAGCTAGCATGGGTCGCGCCACCATGGAGGAGGCATGCATCCGGTGTACGTGTCGCTTCGTCTCGCTGTGACTTATGCGTAATGCATGTACACGCACACATACACGCTAAAACACACACACACATACACACACACACGTTGCATGAGTGCATAACCCGATTATATATGCACGGCGTGTTGCAACGCAGTCGCAAACACACCGGCTCCGCGCCGTGTCCGATCCGGCAATCTGCTCTAAATACGTCCGGCACAATGCCCATCGTGATGCGGGATCACGCTGTAATGTCGTAAAGGCTCTAACTGAGAACGCATATCGTATCGCGAGCGAGATCTCGCGGTTGGGAATAGCTTCGGTGAGCGACGTGAAAATGGCACTAGACTGGCAGATCGCTTCCTGTTTTGAATATTCGGGAAGCCTAGTACTTATTTTTCATCTCGTATGGCGTATAGCATCGCTACGTAAAAACATCTGCGATTTTTCAACATCACTCTTTCTCAGAGAATGAAATTCGATTAGCTGCACTAGAACATAGTAGCATAGTATTACGCGCGCGTAATCGGATTAATATATTGTAACTAATCATCGGTGTAATGTGTACATTATAATTTATTATTACAAATAACAGTCTCTCATCAAACAGTTTCATTTTAGTTATTTATACAATTTCAATAATGAAGATTCTGTATTCATCCAATTTTAAATGTTGAGTTTATTTTTGTAAAGCAGGGAAAAGTTAAAATAATATTGTCAGTTGAAATTATAAATAGGCATCTAAAATATTAAGAGTTTTCATCTTTTGTGCGTGATGCATGGAATCTTTTCTGAGACTTCAGAAATATACTCAACGCGGTTGGTTCTCTAACGAGAAGATATTTTACTTCAAGACACACGATGTATCCCCTCGAAGTCAATCTCATTCCACCGGCGTTTTTCATCATCACCGGGATGCTTCGTCATCATTTGTTAAATAAAACTCTGAGCTCGGCTGCCCAGTTTGAAATAACAAACCAGAATGGAGTTTGCATAGATAGACTGCACGAGCGGCTAAACGTTTTCGTCTGTGTTTTCCTAACACCCTCGCCGTACCACGGGAAAGCTGATCGCGCGGCTTCGAAGGCACGTCTAAACAAGTATCCGTGAACGTAAAGATTTGAACGCGAAAACTCGCTAGACCTACCGGCAAACACAAACACAGCTCTTACAATCTTACTCCATTCAACGGACGGTCTCATCTATAAAAAAATGTAGAGTTAGAAAGGTTGTTTGAGTCTACATTAATAAAACAACCCTCAGATCTATTTCTATATATGTATAAACAACTTCATAAATTAAAGTTTCTTCCAGATGTGAAAAATGTACAGCAGTTGCATAATGCAAGCATAATGATAGCATAAGAATAACTTTTTTATGTTATATTACGTCATACTATTCATCGTCAAATGTACTCAATTATTTAATCTATTCAATTTCAATTTGAAGATATTTTTCAATGATTATTTTTCTGGGACTCGAATCTATGTGAATAGATAGTGATATGTTGGTGTTCGTCGACAGGTAGCCACCTTAAATCGGGCACTGCTATGGTTCCGGTGTTTGTGTCGTTTACTTTGCTACAAGCAATATTTAACAAATTGCTTTCGTTCCCCTTTGTCGGGTTTCTCTCATCGTCGTCGTCGTCATTGGGCGCGTTCCCCGCCGAGGATTTATAGTTGCTCGCTCAACGATTGCCTGGCGAGGCTTCATTTGATGAATCGAGAGACAATGGGACGCTACGAAATGCTCGTCGATAAATACACGCCGACAGGATTGCACAGCTAAATCCTGTACCCGACATTTCACTGTGGATTTGCGGTATCAGATATAATACAATACCAATTTCGATACCCGTTAATGAAAATTTCGCGCGTCATTACAAATGTGAAAGCTATACGTGGAATTAAAAATAAATGAAAGTATTATTTATGTATCTATCAACATTTCAATTTTTGAATATTGCTGATTTCATATAAAAAATGTACTACGTACAATCGATATCCATGTGTGTATAATTATTAATTTTTAAAAGCATTTTATGACTGTATTTAATTTTCTATAAATATGCAACACCGGAATTTTTATATTGACGTAACAATTCGTATACGATCTAATTTTAATACAAAATGTTGTACTTTAGAAACGTCTGAAAGAAAAAAGAAGTTTTTGCTGTTTCAGTTTGTCTTTCAGATTTAGATCTTCAGATTTAAAGGCTTTAGGAATTCAAGTCTCAGATTTAATCTGATCTGGCAATAGATGTGTCCATTAGTGAATGGGTGAACTATCTTTAAAAGTGTTTTTACACTTTATTATTACCATTTGTTATCTGACATACCTGTTTCTTTTTTATATAATTGTAACTGAACAAAAATATACAAAATTTTCTTTAAAGATTTAGAATAATCCTATGTTATGAATAAACATTCCAATAGATCCTTTCACAACAGACCTGTCAGCCTGTCGCAAAATAATGATCCAATTAGTTCAGCAGAGAAATCCTCTGTCGTATTGAAGAAAAATGCACTTCATAGATGTTTCAAACTTGACGTTGCCTTTTTGTGAGAATAGAATTGTAGATTTGTATTTTTGTCGTTTATAAAATGCATGCAATTTAATATTCTTAAGAGTTATATAATCGTAATTAACTTCTGCTTCATAAAGAGTACGTCCTAAAAAAACCTTAAAAAATAAAATATTCTTAAAAAATATCAGATTGAATAAAAGTTTCGTGATTCTTTGTCACAAGAACTTCGTTATCACAACAATATTTTCCAATGCACCGATTATTATCGTTAACGGCTTTAGTATCGCTCTAAATATGTTCTACTTCTTTTAGATCGAAATTATTCCTCATGTCATAAGTATGTCATTTGATATCGCGCTACCGGCCGTTATCGTTCCCCAGATACTTGTGCGCGTTGCAGCGATTGTTAGCTTCGGTATTAGTTAAACGCGCCGTCGCCGTCGTCAGGAGGAACCGCATATTTGAAATATTGCTATTCGCCTGTCATCTTTGTATGCTAATGTTTTGCATAGCAGTCCTTATCCTCATGCACTCGAGCGGGCAGCTGACAACAGTACATATCTATCCGCGGACAGGCCACGCGGCGCGATCGTCCGGCACAATCGCGAATGGAAATGATTTTACAGAAAACACGAAAGGTTATCGGCAAATGTGTATCGGCGCTTGTCAATCAACTTGACTCTCGATGCACAATATTCTCCCATCGCACGATTGTTTCGATCTTCATATTTGGCTGACAGCGATATTTTTTTGCAGCAACACAAAAGGCACTCGATAAAAGCGCAATTATTCGAGGAACATTCTATGTACTTTCCTCTTAAGCGTATGTTTCTAAATGGAAAGTTTGCGGCGATATCAATAGATATCTGACTAAAATTGTGCAATTATTTGAAGAAAATCTTATATAACAGAACGCATTGCTGCGCATATTACGTGCATTAATGTCAACATCGGGAAAACTTCTGTCAGTGATCATTTATATTATTGATGATCAGTGATATTACACGCGTGTTATGCTTTATAATCTTTTTTCCGAGCCTCTTAATTATCGTCACTCTGGTAAATTAATTTCCTTCCTGGTTAGTCGCGACGTGTTAATGGCGCGCGCAATCACGGTAATAGATACGAGGAATGCACTCGTCTTTTCACGGGAATGAACATAATTCTTTTTTTTCGCGAGCGGTCAGCCCGAGCATGCAACAAAGGTTCATCTTGTGGCTTGTGTACATTAACTAATGGCCAAGTCTGACTGTTTGTCATCACGACAAATAGATTTCTCAGGTACTCTCTACGCGTCGCCTAACGGCGCGCAGACACGCGCGGAATGTTTCTGTCAACTTGGATATCATTTTTTAAAACGGACGCACAAATACCGCAGATCACACAGACGACTCGTCCGTATCGAAGTGATAATCATCGATCAAGCACTAGGAAAGGCCGACGGAAGGCCTTTCCGGGATAAAAAAAAAAACAGAAATGAAAAGATAAGTAAAATAAAAATAAAAAATAAAAAACTGAATGCAAAAGTATATTTATAAAAAGATAAGTAGTCTTTAAGCGTCGCTTAACGGCGCGTAGATACGCAGAATGTTTCTGTCAACTTGGATATTATTTTTTTAAAACGGATGCACAAATACCGCAGATCACACGGAAGATTTGTCTGTATCGAAATGATAATCGTTGATCAAGCTCGAGGAAAGAACAGCGGCGAAGGCCTTCCCGGGATGAAAAAAACAGAGATGGAAAGATAAGTATATAAAAATAAAGATATAAAATTAAAGAACTGTATAAATGCAAAAATATATTTATAAAAAAATGAGAATTATAAGTCATAGAAAAAGAATCTTGGAAAATTGAGAGCCAGGAAATTCCAAGGAAGGAATTAGCTTGACACTAGAGTGCTAAAACAACAAATCGAAACAATTACAAAAAACATGTTTACGGTCTTTCATTAATGCGAAAGCAATTAATTTGAGCTTGTGCGGCGAAGTAGACGAAGCCAATTTACTTATTTACACCGGTAATAACGCGCGGTGCTCCTTATCTCGATAAAAAGCGCACGTCATGCGATTATTATTTTCATTCTCTTTCAAAGGAGTCGGGTCAATTAGCAGAGAGAGAGAGACCGGGTAGATATTCGTGGGAACAGAAACTTTATTAAAGTTCAGTTGCATTGAGACAGTAACAGAGAGAGAGGCCGCCGGGTGGCGGGGCGTATGCTTACGAGGTAACTGTGAAAAAATGGTCTTGCGTTTCTCGTCGGTGCGCGACATCGGTAACGCGATCGTTAATTGTCGATCGCACATAGATCCGCGTATCTGAATTCTATACGCACAGGTACGTATACATCGATACATATACATATACATACAGGGGGGAGAGTGGACCGGAGAGGGGGAGGGGTACTCGGGTTTGTACAGAATATATGTATATATATATATCTTCGTTTCACCAACTTCGTCTCTACCAACGTGGATTATACAATGAGGATGCGCTATGTTAGATCCTAAAACGACTTTTATATTACACTATAAACAAGCGGAGATCGCAATCAGTCTGACGTAATGCCCCGCGTACATCAGTTTCTCGTGCTGCCTCATCCGGCAACCGGGCCGTATATTCTCGTATTTACAAAAAATCCTAAATTCGCCGGTAGAATCTCTCAGCGTTAACGTGAGCCGTTCGTCGCGAAAAAAATGGGACAAATTATATTTCGGGAGACGTCTTTCGGGCGTTGAACAGATCCGTTTCTGACTTTTCCATTTACAAACTGATTTTCTACTGTAGTATATAAAGGTGCTGCAATAGATATATTATAAATAGATACTTTAGATTAGATAAGCGTATTACCTTTAAGTATTATTTACGAGATACGGTTTGCGTGTCATTTTTAAGATAAACGAATCACGTTGGAACGATGATTCGCGATCGTACGATGATCGCTGATCCTCTCGTATGCTTTATAGATTCCACCGTCGAACTCCAGTCTGTACATAATTCTTTTCTTAGACATCTATCTATATAATACACGTATAAGTTCTCCGAGCATAGCCAGAGCTTGCTTCGTTCGAATTGCCGAACTCAAATTATTTTTCATGCTCGATAGAAAAGGTCGGTTGTCCGTCGACAAGAAGGTAGCCTCTATCGCACGAGAATTTCCGTTTATCAGGAGGAAAATAAGATTGTTTGAGCTTCGTATTTGAACGACCACAATTCGCAATTTAAAGCACGTCTGAAAAATTAAAACATTCCTGAGACACCTTCGCAAGACTTTCGTGACCTTCTTGAACATTTATATTGTCTGGATATTTTGATTCAAGCGCCGGACGTGGGAGTCCAACATCAATTTCATTAATTTGAAATTTGGTTATTATTTTGAGCAAAGACACGATTCTCCCCTCACTTTTTACTCCGTTTCTTCTCGTTCGAAGATCCGACAAAACGACAAATTAAATCAGGACTTACGTCGTCGCGCAGAGCTTACACTAATAACGTAAAACAATCAAGACGCACAGCACGAACAACACGCGAGAATGTGACCCCCATGTGACGTTAATAGAAATATAATCGACAATGGATTGATCTGTTTTTTGCGTGATAGTGCTTAACACACAACACCCAGTAATTTTCCGCCTTGTCCGTTTCGGAGGTCACCTTACGCGCATGATTTACGCGTGCCACATTCATACTCGGACAATATAAATCTCCAAAAAATAATAAACGTCTAACGAATATCTTTCAGACGTTTTTCCTAGTTTTGATGTGTCTGAAAACATGGAGAGCGCTGAGAATGATACAGACCTAAACACACACTTGTAACACGCGCGCGACTTCGATAATTAATATATATATAAATGGTATATAAATATAATTACATAAATATATACATACAACAACATATATAATAATATAAAAATAATACAAAGTGTAACATACAGTTTTCCATTACAACTGTTTAAATGGCTTTTCTTCTACAATTCAATCATTATTGTTTAAGTCTCTATCATTCTCAGACCTTCGCGTACAGAGTATCTCACTTTTACCGCATTATTTTGCAATAAACTCTTATTTAATTTAAAGCTGAGGAAACCGACTCTTCAATTTTCAATATTGCATATCTTTGAAACTAAGTTTTAATTATAATTCTATTAAAGCTTAGTTAGAATTAACTTGAAAATATGTTATCACTTATCGCATTTTCCTCTGAGACTTATCTTGTTTCTAGCTCATTAAAAAAATCTCGCGATATTTGTTCATCCGATAGGTTTAATGAGATTTTTGTTAAAAGAAAATCGTCTCTGCCAAATAATTTTGTTTTTAGAAAACAACGCGATACAAGTAGGATATGTCGTGACGAATCAAAACATCCAAGAAGTTTTCGAAGCCATCACGGAGTAAAAAAAGAGAGAGAGAATCGTGGACACACTCGACAGACATGAGCAGCTACCTGTCGCGCGAACCGACCGACTTCTTCCGAGCCCTTCATTAGACGCTGGACCCACCGGCGGAGTTAGCCGGGATGTAGTAATTCCTGACATGCAGGTGATTGTGAAGGTGTACAGCCGATAGTTGCTGCTGTTGCTGTTGTTGTTGCTGCTGCTGCTGCTGTTGACCGCCGCTTTGTACACTTTGATGGTTCCAATGAGCGGCCGGAGACACGACCTTGGGCATATCCGGACTGACCGACGGCGGCGTGCTCGGCGACGGTAAGGCGTTCGCGTCGGCGACCACGTCGACATCGACATCCTCGTCGTCCTGATCGGCCTCCGGCAGATCGTGCAGCTCGTCCTCGCTGCAGCTGAACCTGCGCGACTTGGTCGGTCCTAGAACGTCCGCCTCGATCTGATGCTGCTGGTCGTCCGGCGCCAAGAGAGACGCCACGTCGAACTGTCGCTTCCTCGGCTGGAAGGACGATTGTCGAAGGGATTGGCTCTGGAAGGGATTCTGTTGCTGTTGCTGCTGCTGTTGTTGATGGTGATGATGCGGCGCCCATATCGCAGATATCGGTTGCGAAGTCACCGAAGGACCGAGCGCCGTCGGGGGCGGCGGGGTGGCGGGTAAGGGCGGCGGACTAGGACTATCCGGTTCCTCGTCCACCGCCAGGCCCATGTGTCGACGCACCTTTCGCTGGGCTTTGCGCCGACGGAAATCGCCGCGCCGGAAGTCCTCCAGGTTCGCCGGATGGATAGCCCAGTAGTGACCCTTGCCGTTGGCGCTCCTGCCGGACTTGACGAAGCAGTCGTTCAGCGAGAGATTGTGTCGGATGGAATTGCGCCAGCCAGGCCCGCGGGTGCGGAAGTACGGATAATGCTCCAGAATGTGCTGATAAATGTCGGACAGTACGAGCTTCTTCTCCGGCGACGACAGTATCGCCATGGCGATCAAGCCGATGTAACTATGTTGGGGTTTAGGTTCCTCGGGTATCCGTTGGTGATGCGGATGTAACAGCGCCATGGATAGCGCCAGTCGGCCAGGATAGCCGGCCGCCGCGGCGGCCGCAGGGTACAGCGGCAGCGGCGCCGGGAATCCCGGGCCCATGCCCAGATGAGCCGTCGGTGCCCCCGAGGGCGGATGAGCCACGCCGGGATGCTGCATCTGCTGCGCCAGCCGCAACCGTTCCGCCATCGCGTAATGGTACAGGTGCAGCCGATAATGTTCCAGACCCGGTAGAAACCCAGCCATCGGGTTACCCAGACCAACGGCCAGCGGCTCCTTTGCCGGCGGCGGACTCTCGTTGCTGCACATGACGATCAGCCGACTCAACACCAATCCTTGATCCTGGCCGACACCACCAATCGTTCTCTCCACGGGGGAGGAACGCTCGTCGCGATCGCGATCAGCGACGGTTTTTCGCGCTGGACTACGTGGTCATGGAATTGTCAGATTGGAGAACATCGGAGAGAATTGAGACCCGAGCACTTTCCCGAGCACCGAACTCGCCACCCCGATACGCGCCGGACTCTCAATGTCGGAGTCGTAAATTATCGCTCTCCAGGGGTGGCGACGTCGCGCCGCCGACAATCGCGGCAGTCCCTGTTTTCCGACAGTTTTCACCCTGTTTGTCGCGATGCGCATCGAACAGCGGACTGTTCATGATTTACGATCCTCGGCCGAGTGCGACTGCCTCGCTGACGGGGTTTTTCGTCCCACTCAGTGCGCGGCCGCGCGAATGGAGACCGCCCATCGCGCGAGGGGAACACACGGGTGTTCAACGCGGAGAGGGGGCTAGTGAGCGTGTCCTGGTCGACGGGATCGTGCGCGGGGCCCGGTGCGGCAGTGGGAACCCGAATGTCGGAGCGTCGTCCAATGGAAGAGCGGAGGGTCGGACGAAAATGGAGCCCACCACCGGTCGTCACGCCTACGACGTTGCGATATTGATCCTGGCCGGTGTAATCTGGTCACCGGTGGTGGTAGTGGAGATGGTGACGGCCTTGATGATGGTGTGGCCGTCGTCGCCGCACCACGTCTCCGCTCTCTTATCTCTACGTGGCCTAACATAGCTCGATATCATAGCCGATCCTGGACCGGGGAGTTGAGAGACGATCGATGCGTGTTTCCCGTTTTCAGAGCGTGTGCTGCACCGTGAGTTTCGGAAATGGCATCTGCTCTCTCTGTCTATCCATCGCTTCTCTCCCTCTTACCTTGTGCGTGTTGCTCCGTCGTCATGGAGCCCGACGACGGAGATCGAGACAGTCTTTCGAGATTAAGTGGCCTTATCTATGATTCGGATGCTTGTGCGGATTGCGATTTTGATTTAAGGTAAAAATTTCAAATAATATCTAGTCTAGTGTGGTGAAATGGGTAACTTATAAGATATTTGAATCACATTTTTGCTATGTATCTTTAACAAATTTAGCTTATTATAATTAATGATCATATTATTTATAGTTTCTGATTTTTTCTTCTTTCTTCTTCTGCATTAAAAAATTTTTATGTATGTCCACTTTATTTTAAATTTAAAAAATTGTTTTAAAAAATGTATTTGATATCTTATGCATGTACATTTTCCGATTGCTACAAAAAATGCATATATAATCCTTTTAATATAACAAAAAAATCTCAATTATTATATATTACATTTCTCGAAATTATTTTAAATCTAATTTTTAACATTCTAACTGAAATGTTCTAGCAAAAGTCGGAATCTATATGTCGCTATTAAGAAAATTAATATCATTATAGAATAGTTAATTTGTTTGTAATCAGATGACCATTTTCAATATCTAACTCGTGCTAATGATAAATTAACAAGTTACATTGTTTAAGAAGCCCTCGTGACATTTAAGATGGCTGACTTTTGCGTCCATCTTAAATCTATCTTAGATCCTTTTGGAATTAGATATCTGGATGAATGTTAAACTAACGAGTACCTATCGTAAACTAGCTCATTAAATAAATTAATTTCGTGACGTGCAAGTTTGCTCGTTGGTTTACACCATCCTCCAGACAACCAGTTTTCGAATCGTAATTAGATCTTTCTACAACCGATCTCTCTCTTGGACCCGTCGAATCGACATTCTCGCTTCAAAGACGTCGCGCGGAGGGCTCGAAAAGGGAGAAAGAACGGGTGGATCGGAGACTTCCGTCGGCGCCCCTCCGTTTTTAAGACCCGCGACTCAGTCGCTCTCGCCCGTCAGAGAATCCTTTCGGCCCGCGTGGCGCGATTCGCGGACAAAGGCGCGATAAAGGCGCCCGGGTTGCCCCGTTATACGTAGTCACCGCCCCGCAACTATTTGTAAGCATCCGCCATGCTGGTTTCATATCTGCCGTTTCGGCTTGCACAAAAACATTATTTTCAATCGCGCAGGAAGCGGAGGGGAGGTGGGGAGGGCCGACGTGCAGCAATATGGCGTTTACCCTAACCGAGAGGGTACGCGGGGGGGGACGCGCGACGTGCGCGCGATCGGCTCGGATTGCAATTGTTGCGACTCGTTGCAAATAACAGTTCGCCGCTCCCTCCTCCTCCCCCTTCGGATTTGCAGCCTGTATCTGCTGCTTCCCACCCCACCTCCTGCTCCCCATCGCCACAGCTATTCGCGACTCTGTTATGTGCCCGAGCCTCGCTTGCTAGCAACGGAAATACAATGTTGCGTATCGACGCGGTGTGTAAACGTTCCATTGGCGGAGTTACATGCCACCCGGTAGATCCCGTACGTGCAACGGCTGCAGATAACGATATCGCGTTGTCTGCCGGCGAATGCGCACGGTCGAGCCCTCAAGCGCGGACACATTGTATGGCTCTCGCGTTGGGAAATAACGCATATTATTGCGGTTTTATCGTCGGAAACCTGACAGACAATTGTATTTCGTTAGCAGTCACAACGTGTACAACAATGGACACTTAAAAATGTTCTTTAAATCATATTATAATTATAACATTTCTGCAATTATCTTCTGGTAGTCAAATAGTTGGGAAGAAGAAGATCGTAAAAAACTAACTTAAAAATATCGCACGTTCTTTCAATTTATCAAAAAGTTTCTCCTCGCGACTTGGATTTATTATTATATTAATAAATACTATTATTAATAAAATATTAATATTTATTGTAAGAAAAATATACTTAGCTCTCGTTTATATTAAAAATGTGCTAACGTAGTTTATTAGAGTAACGCGAAATTTAATATAATATATAATATTTAAAGTTTTAATCGGGAAAGAATATCTTGTACATATCACATATGTGTGTATCGCGTATAATTTCATTTATCAAAAATTATACTAATTATATTATTTGTTTCCAGGCAATGGCGTACGTGTAAATAAATAAATCCGACGGAGAACGTTTTTGAACGTAAGTACGGCTCTTAGAGCCGCATTTAACGGCAAATTTGCGCGAATATCGCGTCGTGTAAAAAGATGCAATTTCCCGGTATAATCCACTTTGCGCGCTTTTTCGCGCCACGATGGACCACCCGGATCTACGTAGCCGGGACATTGCATTATCGGCAACAGTGAAAATCGCGCGTAGATAGGCGCGATAAAACGTTGCCTTTCAAAGAAGGCTCCTCCTCGAAATAACCGGGGACAGTATTTGTGCTTGCGCGCCGAAACAGGACCCGGAGGAACTCCGAACACGTAACTCTATATCCGGTCCGATCAGATACGATCGTTGTGCTGGCAAAAGGAAACCGAAGAAGCCAAAAGGGAGGGCAATGAGTGACGACGTCGACGACGAGGAAGGGGAAGGGGGATGGCGAGTAAGATGCTCTCGAATTCGCGCGGGGCACAAACTCGAGCGTCGAGAGATAAGATCAATCTCTCGGCGAACGATGGCCACGACTGCGCGAGATGTTAAAAGCCGATCGGTGGTGGTTGCGCGAAACCAGAGCTCGCCGCCGCTGTCAAAACACAATAAAACGAGCGATCGAGGGAAGAATCGATCGATTTCGAGCGGGGTGGCCGCAACGACCCCCGGCCCCGGGTCACGTCCATAGGTGGATGGTGTCTGTGTGAAGATGCAGTCGATACCGTGTACAGATATATCGGGCCATTGTGCGTGCGGCTTGCGCGTTAAAACGCGCCCGCGCGTTCTCCATCTCTCTTTCTCTCCGCGCGCCGCGAATAATGGCGATAATTGTGACGAAGTGGTGCGTCATTGTGGGAAAAAAGGTACACCCCGAGGCCCGCCGATCGAGGGCGGTGGCGCGAGTAAGTGGCAGATGCATGGCGCTCCGTTGACAGCTTCTCCGATTTCCCTCCGCGTCCTCTCATCCGAGGACACACATCCTCCTCGATCCTCTCTTCACGTCCTGTCGAGAATTGGAGCTAGCGAGCCTCTATCGCGCAATCGTTGCGCGTTACGTTCCTCGTTTCGAAATATAGCGAATTCCCGTATGACAAGCCGAGTTAGACTTCGAAAATAATAATCTAAGCAATGAAAAAATCCAAGATGAATATGATATTACAAATAAATAAGAAGAAAAAAGATAACATAGTGTAATAAATAAGAATCTAATTTTTTATTTTGTATACACAATTTAATCTCCCGTAAAATTAACATAAATATCTAATAATTAATTCTTCATATCTCATATAATTAGCTATTTCCCTTTAAACACAACAATGAGAGCACAAAAGAATACTGCTTTAGATAATATGAAATAAATCGAGATTTGTGTAAGTATATATGTGTTTTAAACACATCTAATATTTAGGTTTGACCCTCTCTTATAATTCGTTTCACTCAGTTTTATTTTATTCTGTTCAAAGGAGACACGCTATTGATGATCCTCTCGAAGCAGTCAAGGTATTTTTTGCTTTATATATATCAGAGGAATGGAAACTACGCGAAAATTAGGTAACGCTAATCCCGGCTTGCCTAATTCGCCGTGTAATCCGGCAGAAACTCGCGGCAGTTTCCCCGTTGGTAAAGTTAATAAATGTCGCGGTGGAGCGACCGGCAAGTTCGAAGCCTGCTCGGAGTTTCGCGTCGAAGCACAGCACGAGGTATCCGACGGTTTTGATGCTTCGGAATACACTGCTAATCGGTTTCCAAACTTCTCCCTGTGTATATATTTATGCTTGCTACGGCTGATTGAACAAATCAGATCCCGATATCTCTCCGGAGTTCGATCCAACGTATTGTTAAATTTTAAATAGATAAAAATATTTGTATCAATTTCTCAATTACAAAAATTTTTAATGTGGCATTTTCTTGTATTATTATTAAATTATTAAATAAGTATTGTTACTATTTAAGAATATTTGTTTAATATATATTTTAAATATGTAAATCAAATATTTTCTTAAGTACTAATAATGCTTACTAATAATCATATACAGGGTGTCTAGTAATAATTAAATGTAACACCTTCCATGGATAGGTAAAGGGTTGAACTGAATAGAGAAATTCTTTACCGTTTTGCGATTATGGCAATAAATAGTGAGAAATTAATTAATAAAGATTCGTGAATCAGAGTTATTTATTGCCATAATCACAAAATAATGTATAAGACTTTTCTATTTGGTTTAACCCGCTTTATCTATCCATGACACAGGTGTTACACCTATTAATTATCAGATATCCTGTATATATTTCAACTTTAATTTTATATGTAATCTATTTTTTTCTGAATAAAACTTCCACGCGTGACA